ATAATATTAATCACTTTTCGATTACGATTACCGTTATAATAATACACTTGGTTATTTGACTTTCGAGTTATCAAGCTATGTACGTGTTATGTATATATATATTATATAAATTCGAGTTATAAGCCAAAATTCGACTAAAAATATTTCGTCTTATAGAGAAATTCGAGTTAGCGAAATTCGAATTATCGAGAAAACTTATCACACATATCTTATATTGTAAGGCCGGGGCCAAGGCATTCCTTCGAATTATCGAAAATTCGACTTATAGAGGTTCGAGTTATCGAGGTTCCACTGTATATATATATATATGTTGTTGGTATTATCGAAACTGCTGTGTTACAGTAGAGTACACATTGAATATCTACACTAACAGAGATTCTTAATGTTGTAACTATATTCTAGCGTAAGTATATTTAGTTAAAAACCCGTTTAAGTTGGATAGTTAGTTTTCTTGTTTTAAAAACAAAAATTTAAGTTTTTTAATCTTATTAATATTTTCAAAAAAATAATAAGTATGCAACTTTTGAAAATGATCTTGGTAAATACCAATATATATCATCACTAAATGACGGCTACATTGAAATTTAAGTTGAAGGGCGTATTAATTTCTCAGCATCTAATATCATCATTTCTCTAGAGTCATTATTGGTTAATTACCAACAATTATCACCGAGTACCTAGTTGTTTACTCTGAACTGTTTTAGTTTATCTTTATAATATTGAACTTGTCATTTTGAAATTTCCACGAGCGTTAAAATTAGGTATTTCATCCGAGTTTGTTCGGAAACTTTATTCACATGCATTTAGTAGACATGTTGTCTGTTCGTTTTACTTATCTTCTGTTGAATTAAATTTTACACGTGTCTCATAAGTTATTTTTGAAAGTTTCTAGTATAACAAACTTATCCTAAAAAAAAAAAAAAATTAAATTTATCTGACCGAGGTTAATTTGATTAAACATGTCCAATATTGATGGATATTTTTGATTAGTATTTTAATATAATAAAAGCGCGACGAAAGTGTAGTTCCGATAATTGACTGTTAAAGGTAGTCACTGGAAAACTACAAAGGTTGTGTGTACTTCATTATATTAACATTAAACGAAAAAGTTGTTGGAAAATAAGTTCACATTATGATAGTAAAAACTTATAATGGAAAAAGAAAGTTTTTCTCTCTCCCAATATAGTTACATTACAGAATAAGAAATCTGTCTGAGGGTTATTTCGATCTAATATTATACAAGCCAAACACCTATTAACACCTGAATAAATAGTACGTACTTTCTATTTATTCGATGTTGTCGATAGCATTATAAAATATAGCCCATACGAAATTTTTGGTTACAGCCTATTTGCGCCCAGAGGGATGTGGACAGATGCGCCCGAAAGATAAGGTACTACTTGCCTAACCGATTATACTACTAACTAATTTATAGCCCATATGCGCCCATTACACTTACAACGTTGCTATTGTGATTCATAATATAGATTAGTTTTATCTTGATAAATACTTAAATTAAGTAAATTAGTATATTATAATATTATAGTAATTATTAGTAGACATTTAGCTGTACTTGTATAATTAAATATTATGAAATTATTTAAGATTGAACTGTTATAAGTAACCGTAGAACGTATATTTTCTGGGCTCAAGTTTATATGTAGTGACCTAAGATCATCATTACCATCTGATTTCCTTAATGAAATCATTATTATAAAATCAAATAAGGTATGGAAATTTAATATGTTTTTTTTTAAGTTTAATATTTAATATTTTTATAAGTATACATTATAGAGTGATACACTATGGAATACATAGATTAATTTTTTTAAGTTTTTCAAGTGCTAAGTTTGAACTTTGATTAAGATAGAATATTTTGTATTTAATTTTTTTTCATGTTTATCAAACTATTATCATTTATTTTATATTTTAAAGAAAAAAAAGATATAAGTATAGTAACTTATGTAGTTATGTATTATTTTCTTTTGTTTTATGCCTATTCTTATCTAAAGTTACACCACAACAACATGCATAAATGGTTTGTTAAGAGTACTTAAGATTTAAGTTCAATGAAAGAAAATCGACTGTTGAAAAAAAAACGAAAACCCGATTTAAAAGTGGTTATCGATAAATTTGATGATTTAAAACCGCTTCCAAACAGATAATCGATAGTCCCATTTGTTATAGTTATTTCGGTAACAAGAAATCGATTACCGCTATTTCTAAGAACTACGAAGACCGGCAACTGGTTCCGAAAAAATTTTCGGGTTCTTTAGACTCGGTAACCAATTTTTCCAGAAGCGGTTTCAAACCCTAATTTATTATATTAAAATTAATTTTTATACACTCGCAACTCACATATCATACTCTAGTTAAGGATTTGTAGTTTGTGGAAAGTTGCACTACGCATACAAGAGAATGCGATGTAAAAATCAAAAATAGTTAAAACTGATAAATAATATGTAGGTACAATAGTATTAACTTTAAAAGGTATTTAATAATAATTAGTATTGATTGTATTCCAGAGTACAGTTTGGCAACGTTGTACCGGTTTAATAGATTCTTATTAAAAATATTATGAGTGCAAATGGGTTATGATTTTGGACGCAAATGTGTTATAAAAAAGGTGTGATAGGCGCAAATGGTTTGCACCGAAATTTTTCTTTAATTATAAACTACTTATTAATATATTTTTAAGTAACGAAATAATACCATTCCTTAACATTTATTCGATTTCTGGATATTTTTATCATATATTTTGTTATATTATATTTAAGTGGTAGTTCGTAATTTGAAATTAATTAGAAAGTTGTGAAAAACAAATACGTGAATATGATTAGACTTAAATATCGAAAAAATAAAGAAAATTTACTTTCTAAACTATAATTTTAATCAATTATTATCATTGCTAACGTGAAAAAATGTAACAAATGAT